TATATATTCCCAGCAACTAGAAAAACTCCATATTACCCATGACCCCAATCCCAACCTTCTTCTTGGATCTGCGGCCAGCTTCTGTCTCCTCATCATTGGCGGACAACTTGCTCATGTCCTTGCTCAGTTTGGCCTCTTCTTCCTCTTCGCCTTTCCAAAGCTGCTCCGTTCTGTTTTTCTTAGGCATGACAACAGCTGAAAAATTCAAAATAATGCTTTGAATGTTAAGACAAAAATACCACCACAAAGACATGGAAGACCAAAAGTTTCAATATCAAGCAGTCAAAAATGACACATTTTCTGCCGCACAAAGATTAGCCCACAGGTTTTACTGGCATCAGCGCATGCATATTGGACGTAGAAGGAAATGATGAGAAAAATGAGAAGGAAAAGCCTCCAAGAATAGAATGTCAGAAGCACATCTCCCCCCTCCCCCCCACACACACACAAATACACACATACAGTCATACACATTCCTTCTGACCTCAAAACCACCTTGTGTTCTGATGAGTGCCACTCGACCATGGACCGACCAACACCAGTGTCTGATGCGTGCCACTCGACCATGGACCGACCAACACCAGTGTCCAACAATCACTCCGACATCATCCATGGATCAGTCAAACAATCACTCCGACATCATCCATGGATCAGTCAAACAATCACTCCGACATCATCCATGGATCAGTCAAACAATCACTCCGACATCATCCATGGATCAGTCAAACAATCACTCAGCCATCATCCATGGATCAGTCAAACAATCACTCCGACATCATCCATGGATCAGTCAAACAATCACTCCGACATCATCCATGGATCAGTCAAACAATCACTCAGCCATCATCCATGGATCAGTCAAACAATCACTCTGACATCATCCATGGATCAGTCAAACAATCACTCAGCCATCATCCATGGATCAGTCAAACAATCACTCCGACATCATCCATGGATCAGTCAAACAATCACTCCGACATCATCCGTGGATTGATCAACTCCAGTGTCAATCACTCATCCACTTTAACTTCTGAGGATTTGTCCTGATGCATACATATGCCAAAATCCTGGAAAAGGGAGATAATCATCTTAGAATATTATACACATATATTTTTAACTACTTGACTGCCGATAAAATTTTTACTTGAATCCAAATTGGGAGATAAAATTGAGAGATTTTAACTAAAATGAATGTTTCTATATTTTAGTTAATTAAATATTTTGAAATCTACTTGTCAAAAGTTAACAAAACTAGACATTTTTTTAAAGTAGAGATATTCAGTTATTTAGGTATTGAGAGCCTATCACAGAAATTATGTGATATTTGGATTCAACACTGATCATCTGTTACAGATATCTAGATCTAACTCACCGAAAAATCCCTTGAAAAATTTTGTTTGCCCCCCCCCCAACAGTATCCCCAACCTATTTGAGTCTGACCAACAGAATCCCTGACAGAGCATTAAGGCCTTGGCCACAGCAACATAATCCCTGACAGAGCATTAAGGCCTTGGGCACACCAACAGAATCCCTGACAGAGCATTAAGGCCTTGGGCACAGCAACAGAATCCCTGACAGAGCATTAAGGCCTTGGGCACAGCAACAGAATCCCTGACAGAGCATTTAGGCCTTGGGCACAGCAACAGAATCCCTGACAGAGCATTAAGGCCTTGGGCACAGCAACAGAATCCCTGACAGAGCATTTAGGCCTTGGGCACAGCAACAGAATCCCTGACAGAGCATTAAGGCCTTGGGCACAGCAACAGAATCCCTGACAGAGCATTAAGGCCTTGGGCACAGCAACAGAATCCCTGACAGAGCATTTAGGCCTTGGGCACAGCAACAGAATCCCTGACAGAGCATTTAGGCCTTGGGCACAGCAACAGAATCCCTGACAGAGCATTAAGGCCTTGGGCACAGCAACAGAATCCCTGACAGAGCATTTAGGCCTTGGGCACAGCAACAGAATCCCTGACAGAGCATTAAGGCCTTGGGCACAGCAACAGAATCCCTGACAGAGCATTTAGGCCTTGGGCACAGCAACAGAATCCCTGACAGAGCATTTAGGCCTTGGGCACAGCAACAGAATCCCTGACAGAGCATTTAGGCCTTGGGCACAGCTGACACGGATTCAAAAGACATTCAACAGAAACCACACAGAATGCTAGCAACATTTGTTGATCTACAGAAAGCATTTGACAAGGTGTGGAAGGAGGGTCTACTAGTCAAGCTCCTTACAAGTGAAATCCAAGGCAACATGTACCTATGGACCAAATCCTATCTACACAACCGAAGAGCACGTGTACGCTGGTGGATGGATATCAAGGACAAATAATGCTGCTGCCACAAGGAGTACCCCAAGGTGGAGTCATGTCACCTTTGCTCTTTATCCTCTTCATCAATGACCTAATGAAAGAACTGCCCAAAGGAATACATGCCGCATTGTATGCAGACGACCTGGTTCTTTGGTGCTCTGAGGAATTCGTCACTTCTGCCACATGTCGCATGCAACTAGCATCAATGGACAAACTGACTACTTGGACTAAAACCTGGCCCTCATACAGTACACCAAGACCCTCATACAGTACACCATGGCCCTCATACAGTACACCAAGGCCCTCATACAGTACACCAAGGCCCTCATACAGTACACCAAGGCCCTCATACAGTACACCAAGGCCCTCATACAGGACACCAAGGCCCTCATACAGGACACCAAGGCCCTCATACAGGACACCAAGGCCCTCATACAGTACACCGAGGCCACAGCTATGGAGGATCATATACTGCACACAAGAACAGCCAGAGCAAACACCACAAGACTTAAAAGATCCAACTTCATCAAAGAAAGCAGAAAAATCCCAAGATCCGTACAGGACCATGTACCAGCCACAGTGAACATGCTGAACCACACCCCAGAGGCACCATCACGGGAAAAGACAAACACAAACATATTTATACACACGTCCATTCCTATGTTCACCACAAAAGATGACCACAGCGACCTGAGCAAGAAGTCCCTCACCCTGTCCATGCTTGAACAAAGATACCCACGAGAAGCATGGATAAGGATCTATACAGACAGACCTGCCACTGATGCTGTGAAAAGAGGAGGAGCCAGAGTGTACGTACAGTTCCCAAATGGGCGATGACAAACAGAGGCAGTCCCAACAGGGCGACATTGTACACACGGCGGAGCGGCAGTGGAATCTTAGTTGCCGCAGGGGGATCCCCGCCGGGCGCCTTATCACGTCGGGGTCATGGGGGTCAGCTCCCTGTCGCCGCTCTGTCTGGGCCGACTTAACTTTTGGTACTTTTCAACGTACAATTTTAGGTGTATCCTTGTATTTATGGTAATTCTCATTTAGTGCACCCAAAGCCCGCATTTCAGCTCTTGAGACTCAAAAAAAGAAGGGACGTTGTAGCTTGTCTGGTTATTTCGTTAGACTCGCTGGAGTCGGCAATGCTAAATTGTACTTTTTTTTTACAAGCATGAATGAAAAAAAATCAAAATTTAAAAAAGGCCTCGACAAAATCTGTGGAACTTTTGGAACATGAACGACATAGCATTGGTGCAGATACTCAGAAAAGATGGTATCTGCGCATATAATAGAAAGCTGTAATTTTGCAACTTTATCCATCGGGAACAAAATTCGCTATGAAGTAATTCCTCCAAATACAACTTTATGGGTCTAATATAATCATGAATATTCGCATATTTTCTCGAAAGTTTATAAAAGTTACCATGAAGTTTCTCTATGTAAAGTACAAATCGATTTTAGTGCCAGAATACATCTTCAATGTAATACACGAACAGTATCTGTTACACTCCAGAAATTCCTTACTTTTCTTAAAACGCTAAGTCTTGGTTTTGTAAGTTGACTGAGTAAGAGGGATGACTTCTCATAATTGGGTTATAAGAATAATTTCTAGCTTTCCAGGGACACTGAATCAGCACCAGACTTTTTCAACTTTATTTTTCGTTTCTATGACCATTTGCAATAACTGACAATGTGACTGATTTCTTTACATTCATAACTGTGTCCGCGCATATTTCCTACACAAAAACTAAGAATGAATGTTTTAGCTGTCATTATTTTTATTCCATACAAAAGGTTTAACTCTACCCATGTATTTACACGGTTTTGTGGGTTTTTTTAATCGCTTATATTATATCTTTTTAGTTGTATGCAGGCTGCCACAGACACAGCATGATTAATGAACGAACACAGAGTAACTTTCTCTTGTTTAATAGTAAAATAAGAGCTAACGCTGATCGTCTTTAGTTTAAAAATGCAGATGTGCATCTTTCTTCTCTTATAACTTGACTATTACTACTCGCACAGATTTAAGATTTCTCATGGTAAAAGACATGATATTCGTAGTCAGTTTAACACAGATTTTGGAGAGATCTGTCGTGCCTTTCTAAATTAAACAATCATTTATTCTCATACGCTTGCAACTAAAATAGGACAAATTGGGTACTCTACAAACACTTGTCTAGAACAAAAACTAAGGCACAGAAACTAACCATTCTAACGCAGAATAAATCTCAAGACATTGAGCTTTTAGTACATCCGCGTAATGGTTTGCTGTGTGGGATGGGGAAAAAGTTTTAAACATAATCAAAAATGCGAACTTGCTAACCGACACCGGCAAAGTCGCTTCAGGGCTCATTAACCCCGTGACACCGAGCCGGGGAGCTCCAGCGGGCTGCTGAGTCACGCTAACTAAAGGTAACAGAATCGGGGGAAAAGTGACCCCGTGTACATACTACAGGGCAGAGACGGAGGCTCTAATACATGCAGCAAACATCATCAAAAATGTGGTAGAACCCCAAAGCCAAGTAGTATTCCTAACAGATGCCATGTCATTACTGCAGGCAATCACTGCGGGCAAACTACCAAGGCTACGAGAAGTAATTGAGGACATCCCATGTCTGAGGATCACGCTGCAGTGGATTCCATCACACTGTGGTGTCTTAGGAAATGAGCAGGCAGACGGGATGGCCAAACTAGGAGCACAGAAACAGCAACCAGACAACAGCGTTAACTACACAGAAATAAAAACTATCATAAATACACTATTTAAAGCACCTCCGACACCAGATGACTACCATGAGCTGTCCCGCCAAGAACAAGTGATTATCTTCAGACTAAGAAAACAACACACAAGACTGAGACAACATATGTACA